GGTGATCGTAGTTATGATTGAGGAAGGTGGTGGTGAGTGGTGGTAGTTTATAATGACGGGAAGTGTCGATTATGGTTGTTGTTGGTGATGAGGTGGTTAGTTGTGGTAGTTGAGGTAGATGAGTGTTGTTTGTGGTTGAGAATGATGGTGGTCGGAGTGGTACGAATGGTGGTAGCCGATTATGGTGGCGGCTATGATTGAGGATGATGGTGGTGGCGGCAGCGGCATGGTGGTAGTTGATAATGGTAGGTGGTGACGATAATTAATAATGAATATGGATGATAGCAATTTTGATGAAATTAAGTCTATGTTATAGATCTTAATCATACATGCCTATTTAGACTCATTAAGTGGTTGTGAAGTAAAAAAATACTTAATGATTAAGATCTAAATAATTAAGATTCAGACTTTTAAAACAAACACACTTAATGTCTGAGATCTGAATCATTAATATTCAGACCTCCATTAAGTGCAAACAAATAAGGCCTCAGTATATAATGAACGGACCAAGTAGAGAAAAGATATTTTTGTACTGAATATATANACAAATGACCAATGGGATTGTTACACGTCAAGGGCAGTTGTGCTGGAATAAATTTATTAATTTCTAATTTTTCTTCTATTTCCCTTATTTTCTTCTTCACCAACTAATAGAATTAGGAGGCAGGAGCTTGAGATAGTAATGGGGAATGAGCACATATCATTCCCTACACCTAAGATTGGTTCACTGATGAATGTATAGACCAGTAAAGATCCTGACGGACTTCGTATCTTCTATTATCTTGTTCAGGATCTCAAGTATTTTGTGTTCTATCTTATTTCTCTCCATTTAAGTAGTGATTTTGCCATGGACAATCCCCCAAACAAGAAAAAATTAAAGATGATATTCATTTTAATTTTTTGCAAAGAATCTTTTAATGAAGAAAATAATTGTCTATTTTGATTCTTAAGGATAATATGTTTTTGGGTATTTTTCAGCAATTTTAATGGGGAAGGAGACAAAGGTTAGTAGGTGTAGGAGATATTGTGATGTTTAGGAAGCCAGACCATTGGTTTATTTGAGGTATTTTTTTCGAGCATAAATCCACCATTGTTGTGCAGTGAAGAGCTTCAAAGCCTCTAATGGAGATAGGAAAAAAAGGACAGATCTGTTTCTCTGTCCCTTGCATGTATGTGTGTTTATCTTGCAACCGTTTCTAGTGGTAGGCGGCTAGCTTTTAGATTGAGAACAAGAAAAGCTCAAAATCCGAAGAGGAGGGGGGGCACTGTTAGGCGTAGATGGGGAGGAGGGACTGGTTGGGTTCGTTTGGTCGTTGCTGTGGGTTATAGGTGAAGCCTTGTTTCTGGTTGTTGGGGATGGTGCAAAGATATAAGGGTGGTGTNCGTTTAAGTGGCCAGGAAGTCATTTCACCTATATATAACATTTTCTCTAAATTTATTGAATGAGCTTATATTCTTAATCTTGATATAATTATTATGATCAATATGATTTATTTATTGTTTTGATTTATCAAAAGGTAAAACTCTATTCAGAGTTAGTGTATGCCTAATAGATTGGACAATAACAAATAGCATTTGTGAACTGACTATTAGTTGATAGAATCCATGATTCGGTTTTGAGTTTGATGATACCCCTTTATGTAAGCTTATAAGTTTTCATGTGAAAATCCGGCCGGTGAATTTTGTATCCATCACATGAAATAGTTTAAGCGGAATTATAAAAGATCTAATTAGTTGATTAAATTAAATTTTTAGTGATTTAATTTAATTAAGTATTTGGGATCTTAACATGGGGAGTTAAAATAAGTGTTAGTGAATTTTCGAAATTCATATTGAGAAATTCAATTGCATTTTTTAGTGGAATAAACTGCAATTAATTATAATAAGAATTAATTCATGCAAATTTCGAATTAATATTATAATTAATAGCCTCTTATTATTTCTGTGGTCCCTGCTATACCTAGTAAAAACCTGGACTAGTAGAATCCTATATGTTTTTGGAGCCCTATTTTTGGCTAAAAACATGTCTACTTAAGGAAGACAATGTTCACCCAATAACTCATCTTTTAGAGTTGTATTGTTCTTGCCCTCTCAAGGAAAATTTGTCCAAGGTCTTACTAGGATCATAGCAGAAGACTGCAGCGATGAATTCTTGTTGTGTGGAGGATTTGTGCCACGATTTCAAGAGGTTAGGGCTTCTAATCTAATAATTATAGCATTGTCTAGTTTACATATATTTGATACTTAGATTGTATGTTTGCTTTCACTGTGCATGTTAATACTAAAGGGTCGTTTGGTAGGGTGCATAAGAATAATGCTGAATATGGTGTATTAGTAATGCTGGTATTAGTTATGCTGACATATTTCTTATTCATTGTTTGGTTTGATGTATTAAAGTATTGCACAATTTCTAAAAAAATTATTTGTTTACAAAAATGCCCTCAAAACTAGTCCACGCTCTAACTTTTTAAAAGAAACATATGTTGAGAAATGTTTTTATATGAAAAAGTTTTAAAAAAATTATTTTATTTGTCTACCTATATTGTAAAATAAAATTAAATATTTATTTATAAAAAGGAAATATGCTAAGTATTTATTTATTTATTTACTAGGGATATAATTTTATTTCTCACTATTTGGATTATTTTGAACTTGCATTAATATACTAACTAGCATATTTTAATAAAGCATAAATTTTGAAGGACAATTTTGTCTTTAACTAAGCTAAGACATGCATTAAAATCCATTGCATTGCTAATACCATTGTTTTCTATGCATTAGTTATGCATAGGATAATACCAAATAAGATGTATAACTAATGCATATGTTTAAAATGTCTACCAAATAATGTATTATTAATACATAAAGCTAATGCATGCATTAATTTATCTAATGCATCCTACCAAATGACTCCTAAGAACAGAGCCGGAGCCGTACCACTTCTGAATACGCTTTCGGAAGCTATTGAAAGGACTGATAAATAGCCGGCTGAGGTACACTCTTAAAAAAGTTACTCCAATTCAATGAATACATATATTTTAGTTCAATGTGTACATCTTCATTTATCGTATCATAATCAATTAAGACTAGATTTTTGTGTTTGCTTACCTGAATTCTTCTTATGGCTGTACGTTAATCTTGCAAAGCCTATATATGTTTTGTCAGTTTAACTTCTGGTTATCATCACGAAAACCATACTCTTGAGTGCTTCTTAGTAGCTCCAACCTTTTTATTGATTCCGTTGCTCATCTTCAAATAACATGCACTATGAACCTCGTTTTGTATTTAATTAGTTAGCCTATATATCTATTAGTATTAGGATAAAGTATGTGATCAAAGTCAAGTTTGGTGGAGGGTGTTTGAAGTAGTTTTTTGAAATGTGAAAAGTGAAAAAGTAGTCGAGATATTGTTCCCACTATGAAGAAATTCGATTTTATTTATTGCAGAAAAAATATTTTTGCGGCAACACAGAGGCTAAGCTTTTAGTGGCGATTTTTCTTAGGTCGGCTCTAATATGATCAACATATCTACTTTGAAATTCTGCCTCCATCTCAAAAAGAATAGACAGGTTTGGAGCATGACTCATGAGGGCAAAGTTGGGAGTGCAAAGCGACCCACTTAGAGAAAAATCCCCTTTATGTTAGGGACAAAGATTCTTGATTCTTAAGATTAAATTTACATATTTGATTCTGTAACTAAAATAAAATATTTTAAAAAATATTCGAAGAAGGTATTGTTTGACTCTCGCTTTAGTAATTGTATCATATAAAATGGTAAAGATGGAGTAATATAAAATTAAAATAGTATTAGTAGATATTAATTTCAAAAACTCCCCAGTAGAAGACTTGCTATTTGTTGGGCACATGCCCATGTTGTCCGGCCAAAGGTCCACTGGCCTAATCCTATTCTCTTTTGGTTTTCATTCCTATTTGGAATTGGATTCGGTTTATTCCTATTTTGAGTGAGTTTTAGCTTTAAGAGAAAGCACCACTCATGATCTATAAATAGGACAACCTTGGAGAATTATTCTATGCTCATTGATACAAGTCTTTGAAAGACTTAAGCACATAAGAGTGGTTTTTTGAGAGAGTTTTCGTCAAGAGAGGAGAGAAGAAAAATATTTGTTTTGCTGCAGATTTTTATTCCGACCAGCCAACTTCAAATCACGTTTTCTGATTCGTTAACCGTTGGATCGGGCTGAAATTTTGATTAAGTGTTCGTAACATCTTGGTCTTGGATTTGAATGGTGGAGATCAAATTTGGAGGCTCGTAGTATCTTATTTCGAGCCTCGAACAGCAACTTCGTTTTTGTGGATTATACTCTTTCTTCAATTGATTAGTTGTTGCTCTTGTTGCTCCGTATTTGGCACTTGTTGTGTAGCTAATTTGGAGAACTTTTTAACCCTCTTATTGTTATAGTGGAACTTTTTGGATCTTTGTGATCCCGTGATTTTTACCTTCGATTTGAAGGGTTTTCCACGTTAAAATTTGGTGTTCTTTATTTTCTTTATTTTCGGGTTTGCCTCTTCCTCGACATAACACTATTTGCTCCTTTTATAGGGTAAATTGGAAGATTGGGAGGAATGGCGTTGACAGAATCCCAGTAGAAGGCTTGCTAGTTTCTCCATTAATTACAAATACATGTTGAAGTTAACTAGGAATATGCCTACCTCTGGGAAATGATAGTAGTCAGTAGATTCCACTACCTCTGCAGTGGCGAAGCCACATTAAAGCCAACCGACACTCTTTCATCGAAAATTTACACTGTATTGCTAGATAATTTTTTATTTATTTTATGTATATTTATTATACATTGACTCCCCTTCATTTTACGATGTATTTACTTTTTTATATTTTGATACCTTATAATGAAAATTCTGGCTCCGTCATTGTACCTAGGGATACCTTTTGTCCTATTTCAAACTTTAATGGTATTTTTTTTTATACTAGTTATTGAGGTCCAGGGGATATATAGCTGCTCAATGTTATTATTGCTTTTTGCTATTTTTCAAAGTTGCTTCTTTTGGCTTATTGTGGCCATGGGTTAATTTTTCAGGTGTTCAAAGAACTTGGTGTTGAAAAGTGTGACCCTACAAATGAACAATTTGATCCAAATAGGCATAATTCAGTGTTTCAAGGCTCCTGGCGTGGTTGTCGTTTGTCTTAAGGTATTATTTTATTCTCAATACATTGATTTGCTGGTATTTTTGCTCTTTATTAACATAATCCTTTCGCAACATCTTAAGTTCATTCCTGATCTTAATATAATGGTCATTGGAAGTCAAATTACTAGCAGACAATTTAGTTGTACTTATTATGTTTGCAGCCGGGATACTCCTTGTATGACCGAATTATTCGGCCTGCTGAAGTTGGTGTGCCTGTAGACGTGGAGAGTACAGAGGCCAATGCCAATCAAAGTACCAACGCTTAAATGGATGGCTCACTACCAAGACGTAAAAGAGCTTTAGTGTTATCTCCGACAAACTTCTTGCTGTTTAAACTCAAATCATTTTGTTCTATAGGCGATTTGAGTTTTAGATCCTCCTTCCATTGTGCAGATGGTAAGCTATAGGTTGGTTTGTGATTAATCTACTGTTGTGTTAAATTGTTATAATGAAATCTCTCTGGCTCTCACGAGACGAGTTTCTATCATAAACAACTTCTCTATCACATACGGGTAGAGGTAAGGTCAACAACAATAACAAACTCAGTGTATTCTCATAAATAGGGTCTGGGGAGGTTAGGGTGTACGCAGACCTTACCCCTATCTTATAAAGATAGAGAAGATGTTTCCGATAGATTCTCGGCTCAAGAAACAATGGAGATAAAACAACAAGTAGCAAACAATAGTAAAAATAATATATTAAAGTAACGGGCGCAAAAGACACAACATGTAATAATAAAGAACCATGAATAAGATAATACAAAAATAGTCCTAGTACTACCGGTAAGTCTAGGAGGAACACACTATTATCTGTCAACCTACAACCTTAATCCTCGACCTCCACGCCTTTCTATCGTGGGTCATATCCTTGGTGAGCTGGAGCAATGACATGCCCTGCATAACTACCTCTCCCAATACTTCTTAAGCCTACCCCTTCCCTTCCTCAGACCCGCAATGGACAACCTCTCACGCCTCCTGACCGGAGCATCTACGTATCTCCTCTTCACATATCCAAACCATCCCAGCCTCGACTTCCGCAACTTGTCCTCCACAGACCTAGTCCCTAATAGCTTCATTCCTGATCTTGTCATTCCTGGTATGACCACACATCCATCTCAACATCCTCATTTCAACTACTTTCATCTTCTAGACATGGGACTTCTTGATGGGCTAACACTCAGCCTCATACAACATAGCCGGTCTAATAACCACTCTGTAGAACTTGCTCTTAAGTCCAGGTGGCACATTCTTATCTCACAAAACCCCCGAGGCGAGCCTCCATCTCATCCACCCCGCTCTAATACGGTGCGTAACATCCTCATCAATCTCTCTGTTGCCTTGAATGATAGACCCAAGATACTTGAAACTATCTCTTTTTGGGACGACTTGAGTACCAATCTTTACTTTCACTTAGGGTTGTGCATAATTTGGTAAATACGAATTATCATACCGAAATCGAAAATTTTGGTATTTGGTTTAAGTTTTAAAAAAATGGTATTTGGTATTTTAAAATAAAATACCAAAATATCGATACTGTACCGAAATATATATTATATTACACAATATTTTCTAAGTTCATCAATTAACTCTAAGTGATCAAATTTATTCTTTTATGTACTGTTTTCTCTCTCTGGGTTGGTATTTGCTGGTTTTGGACAAAACTTTTGTCAACAAACGTCTTTAGCTTTGTATTTTCGAGTACTTTAATTAAGAATATTATTGTCTATGACTCTATGCGCTAGTTAGTATTCAAACCAAATAAACCGAAGTTACCGAACCGAATAAAGCGAAACCGAAAGGAAAAAAACCGAACCATACCGAATTTAATTAGGTATGGTATTTGTATATCATTTTAAGAAATCGAATACCGAAAATACCGTACCGAAATGTCTAATGCTGTACCATACCGACCGAAGAACACCCCTACTTCCACTCCTTCTTCACGCATGCTATCACTGTACTTGCACTCCAAGTACTCATGAGTTTTCGACCTACTCAACTCGAAACCCGTAGACTCCAGCGCCTGTCTCCAAACTTCCAACCTAGCGTTAACTCCATCGCGAATCTCATCAATCAGTACTATAGCATCTGCGAATAGTATACACCATGGCACCCCCCCTTGTATGTATTACGTCAGCACTCTAATGCTAAGGCAAACAAAAATGGACTAAGAGCCGATCCCTAATGCAGCCCATCTCCACTGGGAAATGATTCGAGTCTCCTCCTGTAGTCCTCACTCGATTCTTCGCTTTCTCGTACATGTCCTTAATTACCCTAATATATGTAACTGGAGTAGAGGTAAGGTCACACTGGTTATATTGTTGTTGTTGAAATCTCCGACTCATATGACATCCTTATTGCAGGCTGGAGTACTTTCCCTCTCCGAGAAAAAACCAAACAGGTGGCTCAATTAAAATTTGAGTGGAGGAAAGAAGGAAGAAGGGATTTTTTTTTTGGNTGATCAAAATGGTCATTAGGGTATAGGGATGGGACCAACTTTAATAGCTTTCTCCATATTCTAACATGATTTTCTTTTGTTTCAGATAGAATCAGCTCAATGTACAGGCATGGGAAAATATATCAAAAAACTGCTTAGTTTAAAAGGGTTTAGTAGGTCATCAACTCAACCTGCTCAATTTAAAATCACTTATTTATTTGTTTATTTTGTTCCTAATTCATAGCCATACACTGAAATAAGCCTATATGATTGTCCTTTCCTTCTACTAAACTCTCTTGACGAATTGATTTGAGCTAGTAATAACTAATAAAGCTACCTATTTTACTTCTTTTCAAAATTTAGGCGGATTGTACAAATTACAGTACATATTAATATTCATATATACCCTAGTTAAAGTTTTTACTAAGAGGCTAAAAAAATAATGCTATAAAAAGTGGGCCAATGCAATATCTTATGGGCTATAAATACTTGCGAGGATTTCTTTTGGTATATCATTTCAGTTGCATGTCACCCTTAGATTTAATTTTTCCAGGAATATCACCCTCATTGGATTGCCAATATTCCTTCATCTTAACTAAAGGTTTTGGGTTCGAGTCTAGGGTATGAAGTCACAATTGTTAGGAAGCGCTTTACCTTTTAATGTGAAGTTTTCCAGCACAAATATTAATTTAATTGAGTTTTAATGTGCGTATTGATCGGGCAGAAAACAAAATAAAAAAGTAAATGGTGTGTCTTTGAGGATTTAATTGGGTTTTAACGTGGGTATTAAATATCGAGTAAAAAAAAGGAAAAAAGAGTAGATGGTGTGCCTTTCAAGTGGTAAAGAATACCTTCATTAATGCCAAATAAAATAATTAAACAAATTTGGACATCTCACCTAACTCATATAACGAGACAAACGGTGAGGAAATGCATGTGAAATTTCCTTAAAATTGTTTTATCATGGGTCATGTGGGCCGTGGCGGGGGTATCTTCAACTTAATTGTTTAGTTGCATTAGTGGATTCAAAATGCTTTTGAGTGATCATATTGACCATAATTGATGTGATTTGTCAAACTTCCACATGGATCAGATGCCACTATTACCTTGTATTTACATGTGAAAGATACGATATTATTCATTCAAAAAACATAAATAATTCGATCGTGATTGTTAGTACTGATTAAATTAATAATTACTGTTAAATAATTCAATTGAAATTGATTTTACTTCTCCTTCTCTAGCCTCACAAACAAAAAAAAAAAAAAAAAAAAAANCCTTTGAGCCATACTTGTTTCTTTCTTAACCTCTCTTGGAATCAATAAAATAAAAAAAAAAAAAAAAAAAAAAAAAAAAAAAAAAGGGGAAAGAAATCAAGAAAGAAAATAACCCCTGCATTTTACTTTTAGTTAGGTAGGATTGGCTTAACACTCTTCTTCAAACTATATACTAAACAGTTCTTTCCCACTTAATTACTGTTTGACCAGAAGATAACGAAACCTTTTTTTATTAAACCAATTAATGAAGATGAAGAAATAAATTTCAGCCAAGCATAATAAAATTTAAATTGAAAGATGCAAGGGTTAAACAAGGTGAATAATACTTCTTAATATGTCGAAACCAAACGATTAAGCGTAAATATTGTAACTTCGAATGTAGAGCAATATTGCAATGGATGCTATTGACCAAGGTGAGAAATGATGTGTGGATTCCTGAACTGTAACAAGCAGAAGTTGTCTTTTTTGTATTCACTTTTTCGATCCCCTTTTACAAAGTCTTCTCCCTCTATTTATAAGGGACACTTCCCTCTTGAACCCTAAAAAGAATAACATAAAGAATATTCGAAAAGCATATTCCTATTGTCTCCTGTTGCGCCTACACTACTATAAATGTCGTGCATTTGCTAACGGTTGTCAGTCATCGCCCTCTACAATGACCAAAAGATGCTGCGTCGTAAGGGCCTCGTCCCCTGCCGTATTCGTCAGTGGTCGTGGTCGTCCAAATTTGGACCTATACAGTTAGTCCCTCTGCTTGTCGAGGTTGCAGCTTGGTGCGTCCTCGATAAGCGGACATCGCCCACACCTGCGGAGAAATTTGGCGTACAAGTCGTAATGGTTTGGCCAACAATGGAAGGTTAGCGTGCTCCACGATATCCTGTGTGGTGTGTCTCATTGGGAAATGACGTCACTTCCACGTGCATCATCATTATGCGCATTTTTGAGACAAAGGCTGATGGTTTGTCGCTTCGATTTTGGTGCCATTTTGCAGCCTTCCGCTTCGATTCTGGCGCTACCCAATCCTATAAATAGGTGGAGGGTTTGTTTCTTCGAAAACTCTTGGCCATTTCTTCTTTGGTTATTCCTTCTTATACCTTCAGCTTTTGCTCTAGCGATTTCTTTGCTTTCTCTCTTCCATTTGCCGTTCTTAGATTTTTCGGTTTTATCAACACATCTTCCGCCATAAATATGCCCAGAACACATCGATCACGTGAGTGAATTTTTGACGCCACCCCGCTATCCATGACGCTTCCTTTCGGTGGAGAGGACATGACGGTGGAGGAAGGGGATAATTTTCCCACCGTGGAAGAGTTACTGCCGAGACACCCTATGTCTCGAAGTGACTTTCTTAAAGAACCTACCCCTATTCCCGCTTCGGTAGTATCTAAAATTGAGCAGGCCCATATCGATGCCCTCCGCACTAAATACAACGTTCCCGCTCATATCGAGATGGTTCCAACGGGAAGGGACTTCGTGGAGGTTCGTAGATCGGGGTATTGTGCTTTTTATGAATACCCCTTTGTGATTGGTCATTCCTTCCCCCTTCTCCCGTTAGCAGAAGAATTCTGTCAATTTTATCAGGTTTGCCTGGCGCGGCTTTCTCCGTACACATACAAAATACTTATGGTGTTGACAAAATACGCAGAATTGGCGGAGTGCGAAGTTACCGTTCACCACCTCCTGCACTTGTTTTCTCCTAACTTTCATAGGGGCACTATGGTGCATATGAGGCACCGTGGAACCAAAGGGCTAGTGGTTG